CTAAAATTGGCCAGATTTGTTATTCAAAAATAAGGATGCAATATTACAAAAAACGTATCCCTCTATAGTTCTATGAATAATCCTGTAATGATTTAAAAAAAGAAAAATCAGGAACGATATCAGACACCACCCCAGGCACAAAGATGAATTTTTTAAAAAATTCTTCCTAGGTCAGAATGAAATTGGGCTGCCTCAGACAATTTGTATTCAATATCATTCATATGAAAATTTGGGAAATGTTCSAAAATGCAAAAGRACTCTGTACTAATCTGAAGACTTCAGGATAACAGGGACAAAATACTCTTTCCATCCCCTCTACTTGAAAAGTAATAATGTGAAGACAAGCAATTTTTTAGTCCTAAAAATGAGCATTTTGTCAACCGTTTCTGCAAGCCAGAATTTGAATACGGTAAATGATAATTTCAAACACGGACTGAAAGGTTCATTCCAGTGACAAAACCAATTTCGAACCTCAGCGATAAAATAATTTCCAATCCTCTGCGAACAGAAAATTTTGAGTCAGCAGTTCTTAACGGTACGGCAAGTATTTTAATAATTTTATTACCCCGGGTATACTACTCCATACTACTCTTAGCCCAGTGACAAAAATAATTTTTAGCCAGGGCCACAAACAATTCTTTCAACAACAGCAAAACAAATCTAAAGCCAATTGAGTGCATGACAAGTGTCAGTAGCTCATTTACTCCACTGTAAAAGTGAATATAATCAGCGGCCAATCAAAATTGTCTGTTCCAATGGAAACATTCACACTGCTACAACATAATTGGTCTGATCACGAACAAAAAAATAAAAGACACGAAAATGAATTTTGTTTGAAATAGTGCCTAGCTCAGAATGGAAAAAACTAAGAAGAAATTTGGGCCGATTTTTCAAGTATAAAAGAAATTGAAACAGTGCTGCCTCAAACAATTTATTTCAATATCATTCACAGAAAAGGTTTCAAATTAACCTAAATTCAATGAAAATGACAATTTTGAAATTTTCGAAAATGCAAAGGTTCCAACCCCCCCCCCCATGTAGTAAGCTAAAGACTTTCCATAACAGTGAGAAAATACTCTGTCCGTCCTCTCTTCTTGTTAAGTAATAATTTGAAGACAAGCACACAATTTTGCTACTCCTTAAATGGGCATTATGTCACCCTTTTCTGCATAGTATTCTAAATTACAAATCTCTGAACAACAAAAATTTCATGGAAAACTAGCATATTTATGCCAGCTTGTTCAAATTTTAGTTAAGGTTGCACATAGAACAAAAACCTTTAACCTGAAAACTTCCGAACCTTTTCAAAATAAAATGGGTAATCTAGACTGAACAGAAAACATTGGAAAATAATTTTTGTTAAACGTAATTATTAGGATTCCAGTCTGCAAACTGATGGTATCTGACAAGACATTTCACAAGATGTCAGACAATGGCTTTTAAAATCGCCCTTAAAGTGCAATGACTTCGACCGGAGCCACCTTGAAGTTTTTAACCAATCAAAACTCGATTTTGGAACAAAATTCTGAATTAGTTTGTAATCAGACCAACCATATTGAAGCAGGGTGACTGTTTGCCGTTGGAACAGACGATTGTGATTGGCTAGTGATCACGTACAAATGTAGTTGATAAGAGCAGTCCGGCACACTAACAAAAAATAAAAAAACATGCACCACAATCACCTGAACCCAGCGCACGGTACAGCGAGAAAAAATGATAATTCTTGAACACGGAATGAAAAGACCATTCCAGTGACAAGAATAATTTCAAACCCCACCTATAAAATAATTTCGATTCCTGCACGAACAGAAATTTCAAGTCACAATAGTAACAATATTGTAATAATTTTGTACTTTTGTTTATTACTTTATAATTCTCGTTACCCAGCGGCAAAAGATTTTTTTCAACCAGGGGCACAAATAATTCTCTTAACAACAACGCCAAAACAAACTATGAGATCCCTTACAAAAATAACTTCCAAGTTTACAACAAAACAAATCTGAAGTGTCGGTCACTCGTTTGTGAAAGTAATCAACAACCAATCAAAATTGTCTGTTTCAATGCGGAACATTCACACTGTTACAACATGATTGCTCAGATCACGAGCAAAAATTGAAAAAAAGCCACTAAAATTAAGTTTGTTTGCAATAGTTTCAAATTATAATGAAATTGAGCTGCGTCAGACACTTTATTTCCAATTAATACAATTCAAATGATAGATTTCAAATTAGCCGAAATTCAAAATTTCAATTTTGAAATTTTAGGAAATTGTGGGAATGCAGAGGTCCCCTGTGCTAATCTGAAGAATACAGGATAACAGGGTGAAAATACCCTTTCAGTCCCTTCTTCTTGTGAAGTAATAATTTGGAGACAAGCAGACAATTTTCCTAGTCCCTGAAATGTGCATTTTGTAAACCTTTTCTGCAGGCTGGAATTTGAATAGAGTATTCTTAAAAATCTCTGCACAACAAAACTTTTAATGAAAACTAGTGTATTTCTGCTAGCTTGGCCAAATGCGAGTTTATGTTGCACATATAACAAAAAGCTTTAACTTGAAAACTTATAGACCTTTTCAAAACAACATGGAACTCTAAGACTGAACGCAGAAAAGCAGAAAAAAATATGAACAGAATCATTTAGATTTTCAATCTGCAAAATAATGATATCTAGCAAGACATTTTACAAAATGTCAGACAATTACTTTTAAAATCGTCCTTGGAGAGAAACGACTTCGACCAGAGCCACCTTAAAGTTTTTAACCGATCACAACTCGATTGTGAAACAAAAACTCTGAATTAGTTCGTGATCAGACCAACCATGTTAGAACAGAATGTCCGTTCGCCGTTGAAACAAACGATTTGGATTGGCTGGTGATTACGTACAAATTCCGTTGACAAGAGCAGTCCGACAAACCAACAAAAAAATGGTTTGAAAGAGTTCCTAACTCAGATTTTTCAAGTATTGATGAAATGTCGCTGCGTCAGACGATTTGTTTTAATGTAATTCCAAAGATAGGTTTTAAATAAACTTAAATTCAAAACGGTGATTTTGAACTTTTTTGAAATTTTCGAAAATGCAAAGGTTCCCTGTACTAATCTGAAAATACTCTTGAAAGAAAATTCTCTTGTAAAGTAATCATTTTACAACTTTTAAAATGTGCGTTTTGTAAATCTTTCTGAAGGCCGCAATTTGGACAGAGTATTCTTAAAAATCTCCGCACTACAGAACTTTCGAGGAAAAATAATGAATTTCTGCTTTATTGGTAAAATCTTAGTTTATATTGCCCATATAACAAAAATCTTCAACTTGAAAACTTATAAAACTTTTCAAAATAACATGGGTAATCTAGACTGAATAGAAGAAGATCGGAAAAGAATTTTCATTCAGAGTAATTATTCAGAATTTCAGTCTACAATCTGATGATATCTGCACATTTTCCAGGATGTCAGACAATTGCTTTTAAAATCGTCCTTAGAGTGAAACGACTTTGACCGGAGCAATCTTAAAGTTTTTAACCTATCACAACTCGTTTTTGATTGGCTGGTGATTACGTAAAAATTCGTTAAGAAGAACAGTCCGATCCAGCAAACCAAAGAAGAAAAGTTCTTGAGTATTAATGAAATTAAGCTGCGTCAACAATTTCTTTTCAATGTAATTCAATTTAAAGCTTTCAAACTATGTACCTAAATTCAAAATGATAATAGGATTTTTTAAAATTTTCGAACACGCAAAGGTCCCCTGTGCTATTGAAAGGCTTCATGATTTCAGAGATAGAATTCAGTTTTCCGTCCATCTTCTTGTGAAGTAATAAATTAAGACAAGCAGACAATTTTCCTAGTCTTTAAAATGTGCATTTTCTCAACTGAATGAACAACTTAACGCCAACAGCGTCGAGAAAATTATGAGTACCACTCTCCCTCCCCCACACACCCACCCTGAGTAAACATACATCATTAAACACCCCCCATGTGAAAATTTTACACTACAAAGTTTTCTTCCAGCGTAGCCAAATAATCTTGAGTGATAATTTTAATAAATAACGAAACTGCCTTCCATAACATACTGCTTTGGTTTAGCAAAACTGCGCAGTTCAGCTGTAAAATGAATTGATAAGAATACCTAGAAATTGTAAAGTTGTTCTACTTACAATTGATCCTGTTTGGTATTATCGTGTTTAATGATCTCCTGATATTTCTTTGCATTGCCACGATGTGTGTTCCTGAAATTAAGACAAAGAAAGTGTTAAACAACAAAGTATTTCCAATGTAATAAAATCGAGGGAAATTTTAAGGCCAGAAGAAGACCACCTCCCATTTACTATGGCTTCGATTTAGCAAAATGTCTATTCACGTAGTTACGGTAGGTCAACTGCACAATAAATCAATAAGAATAGAAATTGCTCTGGTACTTAAAATGTATCCTTTTAACTTTTTGATTGCATTGCTCCTGATATTTCTTCGTATTGCTACGATGAGTATTCCCGACATTAAAACAATGAAGCCCAATTGAAAACCAAGTTAATCTGCAAGTTGTCCTAAATGAATTGACCCTCGGCCATGAAAAGTGAATACGTTTTTGATTCAAACTCGAAATTGCAAAATGATTTGAATACTCTTTTCCTTCCATCTTCTTGTGAAGTAATAAATTAAGGCAAGCAGACAATTTTCCTAGTCCATAAAATGTGTATTTTCTCAACTGAATGAAAAACATCAACAACGACACAGCGTCGAAAAAATTACGAGTACGACCCTACCTTCCCCACACACCAGCCTTGGGTAAAGATACAGTCGAGCCTCCATTCAACAACCCCCCGGTAGAAATTTTACACCAAAAACATTTCTTCCAGCGTAGCCAAATAATCTTGATTGATAATTTAGGCAATGCCAAAACCGTCTCGGCATATGTATACGCTACCGCTTTGGTCTGCTGAGTTAAACTGTAAAAGGAACCATTAAGCATAGCTAGAAATTGTAAAGTTGTTGTTCTTACAATTTATCCTTCTTTGTTCGATTGTGATCAATGATCTCCTGATATTTCTTTATCATTTGTTACGATGTATATTCCTGAAATTAAGACAAACAAAGTGTTAAACTTTAAACTTTTTCCAATATAGCCAAATGATATCGAGTGAAAATGTTAGTCAATGAAGACAGAACTTTAACCGCCTCCAATGAGCTACAACTTCAGATTAACAAAATATCTAATCAACTATGGGAGTTTCAATATACGTTGAATCAATGAGAGCAGAAATGTTTGCTGTACTTACAATTTCGGCTCTTATCTGTTCCATTGTGATGTTTTCCTGCTATTCTTTTGCACTGCTGCGATGTGTATTCCTGAAATTAGACAAATAAAGTTTTAGACTACAAAAGTTTTCCAATGTAGCAAATAATATTGAGTGAATTGTTATAGCCAAAAGCAAGACCGCAACCCGTAAACTAAAACTTCGATTTAACAAATTGTCTAATCACCTACGGCAGGTTCAACTGCGCAATGTATCAATAAGAATAGAAGTTGTTCAGGTACTTACAATGTATCCATTTATCTTTTTCATTGCATGTAATGCTTCCCTCATATCTCTTCTTATTGTCTCGGTGAGTTTTCCTGAAATTAAAACAATAAAACTCAATAGAAAACAAAGTTAATCTCCCAGGGGCAGTATCACGAGAGGTCTTCAAAGGTTTTTGTGCAATTTATGCTAAAATTATAAAGGTGCACTCACTGATCAACAAAATAACCTTAAAGCGACAAAAAAAGGCAAAAATTCAATCGCTAAGAGATCAATGATTTTTAGTGATTTTCCTCCAAGTAACATTGTCAAACTTCAAAACGTCGGCCCGACGTTTTCAAGTTTTAGACCACTTCTTTCCTACTCGTCCGTAGCCACAACAGTTGAAAACAACTTTCATGACTGGTACGGTGCATTTAGCAAGGTTAGGCAACTACTGGTGGATTTCCAATTAATACCAACACCGTCATTGGATTTTTAAGTAGCACTAAATCTTGGTGACACTGCCCCTTTATGAATTTACCCCCTACGAAACGTGAATACGTTTTTGGTTCAAACTCGAAGTTGCAACGCAAACTTATGATTCCATTGATTACACCTCGAAACTCGAGCTTAAACTGCAAACCCTGACTCGAAATAAATTGCATGATTTCCTACAACAATAAAATAGGATTTTGTCCTCAAATTTTGAGCTACTCCTTTACAATCTAATCATTCGGTCACTTGGTATCAGATGATATTCATACCGTGAGTAATTTATTTGTTCTTTCAATTCTGATCAACTAAAGGCCTTGAAAACCAGCAAGATAGTTTTGAATTTCCAAGAAAAAAAATGAATTCGGAAAGGACTGAAATTTCAATCGAAAAAGCCAGGTCCTACAATTTGGAGCAATCCTTAGTCACTGATCCAAAGTTGAAATTTATCCTTCATTAGGCTCAAAGTTTTTCGTTTGATTATTTTAAAATAAGATCAAAAGAACAACGTCTAAGAACACTAACCAGAAAGATGTGTTCATCTTGACTATGTATTGTGGTCGTCGTCCAACAACACCAAGAAAACCTTGAGTACTTAAAGGAATAAAAATCTAAATAAACGAGAAAAGAGNTTTTTTTATTTCTTCAGTTTTCCGGCTTTGTCAAAGATAAAAAAAATTCAATACTCCATTACAGACTTTCATTTTGCCTCAGTTTTAAATGGGTTAGATTTGAACACGTAAGGTAGCACGCGAAAACAGTGACTCCCCCCCTCCCCTCGCCCAAAAAACAACAACAACAAAAAACAAACAGGAAAGAAGAAGGCGGAAAACGAAGGGTTTTTTGCCACATCGAAACGGGTACAAATATGGCTAGAAATAAAGAAGTAACTTCAGGGCAATTCTTGTCAAATCTGATGCCTGAACTATCACATTCTGTAACCTTAAAATACCTGGCAAGGGCATTCAGTCTGTTTTTTTGAGGGGCCATTTGTCGCAGCTGAGAGCGAGTCAATTTAAAAACAACTCCTTGTAACTTTTTGCACAACCAATCAGTACATACCTTATTCCTCGTTTTTCGTTCTTTATCGTATTCTCACGCTGGGCATGCTGCGGTGGATGATCCTTACAGGTGTAACAGACAGTCACTTAATCCATCAGACAGACAGACAGAAAGTCAGTCTCACAGTCAACTTTTCAGATCACCTTTTACACATCCTTCACTTCTTCAGTCGCTAAGTTGGGTGAACTCCTCTGTCACCCTATTACCTTCTTTAGACAGACATAAATATAGACAGACTGACAGACAGACAGAAAGTCAGTCTCACAGTCAATCTTTCAGATCACTTGTTACGCATCCTTCACTTCTTCAGTCGGTGATTCAGGTGTAACAGATCTCCTTTCCCCTGTCACACTACTACCTTCTTTAGACAGACAAACAAACAGACAGAGAGTCGGTCAGTCATCCGGTCAGTCGGTAGGTCGGTCGATTAGTCTTCACTCAGCAAGCTTGTTACCCAAGCTGTCAGTCTTTCACCTTTTAAATATAACAGAAGTCAGTCTGTTATTCAAGCGTAGGGAAACTCAGTCATAAAGTTAACCGACTAGACCAGTCAGTCAGCCAGCTACTTGGCTAATCACAACATTACAATCTTCACAAAGGCAATCAAGTTTGGTCTAATACCACACTGCTATTTCCATCTCTTAAGATGAAAAAAATAAATCCTTCATTGTGACTCCAGTGTCTCCATTACCAGAGGTGTCTGCTCATAGGACATTGTTTGTGTGTGGCTTACTGGCAGTGGAGGCGCGGTGGCCTCATTGTTAGTGCGCTCGACTCCGGATTGAGTGGACATTGATTGACTTTGCATTGATCAGGGACATTGTGTTGCGTTCTCGGACAAGACAGTTTATTCTGACAGTGTCTCTCCCCACCCAGGTGTACAAATGGGTACTGGTAAATTTGTTGCCGAGGGTAACCCTGCGATGGACTAGCATCCCATCCAGGGGGGAGTAGAAATACTCCTAGTCACTTCATGTTACGGAAACTGGGATAAGCTCCAGTCTGATGGGCCACTTGGCTTGTATGCAGACTTTACCTTCCTCAAAGTGTCAGCCTACAGGTCTCCATCAGAGAACATTAAACTGTACATTTAAGGAGCCCAGTCACAGCATTTTAAGTTATTTTGGCCACATACAAAATTACCCTTAAATTGAAAGAAACCTGAAAATATTGGTTTACTAAGAAAGATAAAAATCACCAAAGAGATAATAATAATAATAAACCATAAAGAAACAAAGATGGTTAAGGATGGAGAAGATTAAAATGGATTACAAAAGGGGACCTTGAAAAATTAAGGCTAAACTTTTCAAGATGAACACACTGTGAAGTAGCTCCTTTAAGATAATTCATTTTCCTCATCAGAAATTGGTTCCTCTTAGGGGTGAGAATGAACAAGAGCCAGACCCATAAAATGAGATTCTTATACTTTTTACAGGCTTCTNACTGCTATTTCCATCTCTTAAGATGAAAAAAATAAATCCTTCATTGTGACTCCAGTGTCTCCATTACCAGGTGTCTGCTCATAGGACATTGTTAGCGCGCTCGACTCCGGATCAAGTGGACATTGATTGACTTTGCATTGATCAGGGACATTGTGTTACATTCTTGGGCAAGACACTTTATTCTGACAGTGTCTCTCTCCACCCAGGTGTACAAATGGGTACCGGTAAATTTATTGCTGAGGGTAACCCTGCAATGGACTATCATCCCTTCCAGGGGGGAGTAGAAATACTCCTAGTCACTTCATGTTACGGAAACTGGGATAAGCTCCAGTCTGATGGGCCACTTGGCTTGTATGCAGACTTTACCTTCCTCGAAGTGTCAGCCTACAGGTCTCCATCAGAGAACATTAAACTGTACATTTAAGGAGCCGTCACAGCATTTTAAGTTATTTTGGCCACATACAAAATTACCCTTAAATTGAAAGAAACCTGAAAATATTGGTTTACTAAGAAAGATAAAAATCACCAAAGAGATAATAATAATAATAAACCATAAAGAAACAAAGATGGTTAAGGATGGAGAAGATTAAAATGGATTACAAAAGGGGACCTTGAAAAATTAAGGCTAAACTTTTCAAGATGAACACACTGTGAAGTAGCTCCTTTAAGATAATTCATTTTCCTCATCAGAAATTGGTTCCTCTTAGGGGTGAGAATGAACAAGAGCCAGACCCATAAAATGAGATTCTTATACTTTTTACAGGCTTCTTTTAGAAAAGTAAATGAAACTAATACATTGTATATTGAATACAGATCGGATATACATAAACAGTCTAATAATATGCCGAAAAAAATAACTCGATTCTGATTGGCTGAGAACAGTGAAGTTCAAGTGCAACACCAGTGCAAAAAGTGTAACACCAGTGCAAATTACGCATCATATCCCTGGATTATGATTGGCTTAAAAACAATAGGAAATTTTCTAAGCCAATGATATCATGTAAAAAGATGACGAAAATTGTGTGTAGAAACTTTGAAAAAAGTTTTCTTGAATGAGAAAAAATGGCTTCAAGAAAGATCTTCTGGCACTTCCTCCACATGAATTTGTTCATGTCACTTTATCTTATTAATATGTAATCATACGATTTTTCTCATTCAATTTGAAATTAATTTGCACTTGTGAGTTTTTCAAAAAGCTAAAATTGCACTCACTGAAGCGGCTCGTGGAATTTCCGCTTTTTGAAAAACTCACTTGTGCAAATTAATTTCACATTGAACTCGAAATTGTATGATTACCTATAAAAACCTAACATAAATATACAATCTCAAGACAAAAAAGTGTGATTAAAGGAGGTGATCATAGGAAGATAAGGACAGGGTTTTGTATGTTTCTAGCTGGCTAGCTAAACTTTGACACATCAATAGAGTCTTGACTGATTGATTGAGCAGTCTGAATAAATACCACTCGATAAGTGACAGTCCGTCTATATCTTTTCTGGATTTTGTTATCCCGCACTGTCAACACGGACATCATTAATTTATTAATACATCTAACCAACTGAAATTAAGAACAAAACAAGAACACACCAATTGTAGTTACAAATTTATTAACTTTAGTTTAAGAATAAAGAGCAGTTTCTACACGAGTTGAAACAAAAGAATCTAACAGATGAGCAAGGACTTGAATTACAGTGTATATGAGTAATTTTTCACTTGCTGAGTGAAACGAAATAAGTGAAAATTTTTTTCTCACACACCACTGGGGCCTGGGTATAGGTAACATGACCTGAAGGGCAGGCAGTTGTTTCTGTTGCGCCCACCATTACTGACTTTCCTGCCCACCCACCTGCAGATTTTAAGTTTTTATACAGTGCCAGTATATTGCACAAGCCTTGAACTTTTTTTGTTATTTCCAGTGTTTAGCGTAATGCTATTTGTATTAGCTTTGATTTAGCAATAAAGGTCAGGCAGCGGCAGTCAGCTTGACATGGCTACCAGTGGTATGTGAGAATTTCAAATTACTCTTCTTTGAATAACAATATAATCAGAAATACCAAATGATGTAACCCTAAAGAACATTCTGCAAACACCAAGTCTACGCGGATCTGCAAATTCCCACATTATTTCAACATTTCTAGATTAAAACTGTCTAGTATAATATGCAATGTAATGACTTCAGATCTACAATGTAAAAAAGTTTTCCATTAAATAT